TGTAAAAATCGAATGAAAATTGACAGCTAGTGCATTTTAAATATAACCGCTAATTAGAAGATACTTTGGAATAAGAAGTGCCCCACTGAACAATTAAACATTTTTATTAGAATATAAATAAAAAGAATTGCATCTAGCGGTACACTCTCGTGGCGCCCTCTGCGAAATATGTGATTTCGGCGCGGTAGTCAAAGGGTTACACGAGATCTAACCCTTTGCACTCGAAAGGTGACCTACAGTCACGATTTCATAAAATTTGGAAGATCGATATCAATTATATCAAACTTAATTCCACAATTCTTTATTTACTGCTCAAAAAGGTATCGTCAGTTTTTTAGTAAAAAATCTTTGAATTTCTACTCTTCTCTAGCCAAAAGCTCGTCGAGTGCAAAGGGTTAAGTGCACACTGAAACCTTATCAAATTAAATACGAATATGCATCAGTCTTCTAGCTTGGTATTTTTTGGTTAACCCTTTGCACCCAGGTTTCCTTTAACACGTTGGCTGCCGCGCGAATTTTACGTGACTTGCCCAAGGCGTCAACATGAATTTTTCATTATGCGATGCATATTATGTTGAAATATTATTTACAGCCGATAAGTTTAGTTGTATAAACTTGTTTTATGCATTTTTCGTGGCATTAATTTCTTCAAAGCATTACAGAAACAATGGTACTATTTAGAAATTTAGAAATATCGACGTTTACTCTAATTATGTATTTTAATTATTTGTCGCGTCGCCGATTACCTGTGGCCCCCACGGCGCTGTAGCCAAGTCGAGTGCCGGTCATCGGTGACCCCCACGGCAGCCAACGTGTTGATACCTTGGAATTTTAGGGACCCAATACTAGGCAATAATTAAATAAAAATTACGCATACTTTCCTGCTTTTATTTTTATACAATGAATATAAAAAATTGCTTAAAGGGATACTGTACAAGAGAAGCTTGGAATTGCTATATCTTTCTAGGGAAAAAATCGAGTGCAAAGGTTTAATCAGAGTCGTGCCACCGATCCCCGTCGCGGGACACTGTCAGACTCAGCCTTGCACTTTCCGTGTAACCTTAAAACAGCGCGGTCGCGAGTGGACCCTGCCCCGGGAAGCCTATATTTTAGCGTGAAACGTGGCCGCGTTTAACGCGCGGAACGAGGTAGTTACGAGGAACGTATTCATCGCGTTGTCCCGGCCTCTGTGAAACTGCGCAAAAGGACGGCGACGGGGCGACATCACCCACCTGGGCGGCGATATATCACGGGAAACGAGCGAGGATCGACTTCTTATTGGCTTGGCAACCGGCACCGTCGCTCGAGCAACATGACTAATTATCGCTGTCCCGGTTCGCTGCCGTCTAGTTTACCTTTACACGCTTTCCCGCCCGTCATTTCTCACGCGTCCACGCGACCGACGCGTCGGCCTCTCCTCTCGCGGCACTCGCGCGCGCATCCCGCGAAACCGCTCGAGAACCGGTGCCGGGAGCTGAGAAACGGCACGCCGAGTCCGTCTGACACACGCGGCATCGGAAAAAGTGGAACGATCCTTGCTTTTATTCACCCATTCCAAGCTTTCTATGAATCCCGGTAAACGTATCGCTCTGAGGTAACCGCCATCTTGTAGAATTTATCGGCGACCGCGCAATTTAAGTTTACATCAAATATTTCGAAGACGAATGAGATTAACGTTTGTAAATATTATTAGTTACCCTGAGATAAAATAAAAAGCAAAATTCAAGTGCAATGTACGCGTTGAAAGTAGTACTCTCGATCACAGGGATGAATGGTAAGGGAAGATTGCTGGACAAACCAGAAGCGTGACAGAGGAAGATTTATTCGCGTATACTACGGTCGGAGGAATCGGCAGAAGTTTCGAGCGGATGGCAGAAGGTTGAAAGAACGAAACAAGAGAAGATCATAATACCTTTGGAGGCACAGGGCTGGCCGCGAGGAAGCGTTTGAAACTTTCCGATAGCCAATTTCACGGTTCAAAGCGTCGTGCCGAACAAATACACCGGCGAACAGAGGGCTGTATCGAAAACGCGGAATCAAAGAAACCGAAGGAAAATCTATTTATGGGATCGCTATTTAAAGGCAATCTCGCTTAATAACTCATCGGGCACGCGTGCACTCGATACACCGCTGTTCGACAATCGACTCCGCGACCATTTGCGTCAAAGGGAATGGCAGAGGAGCGCTTATTTATATAACAGCGAGCCCGATAATCGCGCCTTAATTAGCACGGCCAAATCAACCGCGGGAAAAAGGGCGAAAAAAAAATAAAAATAAAAAAAAAAAAGGAATTTCTTTTGTGGACGCCTCTCCGCTTTCGCGATATTTTTTCGGTCTAACGACTTTCCCCATTTTTCTCAGCCGCCGTTTACACGGCCCGTTTCACGGCTGAGGATACAAAAATACTAGAGAGGCACACCGAGCCGGTTACACAGGGAAGCCGCACGGTGGCGCAGCGTAGTTGCGACACACAAAGGAGTCGCTTTCGCGTCGTTAATCCTCTCACTCGCTCTGCCGGTAAATCGGGGCCTCCGGTCGACCAGCCTCGTCAACTTTGTTTGCCGATGACATCTGTGCGCTCTCGTAATTGCGTACCTGCTATTCATACGCGATGAGACCACGTCTCGAATAAGGACTTCTATCAAGGACGCGTGTATGTCTATGCGCGTCGAACCTACGTTTATGCAAATCGCAGAGAGCCAGACCTCGCGTCACGTAACCGATTCGACCGCGAGAAACGCGATTCTTTCCACCATCCACGATTGATCGCTGCACGCCTGCATTACGGTTCTTGCCCCGTGTCTTGCCATGGGATTAATTGAAACGTACGAATTGCACGACGGGGCTCGATAAACCCGGCGCGCGCAGCCGTTCGACCGATTACTCGAGATCCAGCCGATCGATTTTTACGATCGAGTTAGGTACCTGCCGATACCGAGTGGTATACGAGAGTGGAAAAGAGAGTCCAGGGAATTCTTGCCCTTTGCGTTTTCAGCTTTGGACCTGATCACGAGAATCCTCGAGTTCTCCTGTTATCACTTGGAAATAACAGGTTATTTAACAGCTTGTCCGTCGAGTTAAACGATTATAGGCTGGGGCTGTTCGTATCGTTCGAGACCTGTGTAATAGGTACACAGTCGTAAAAAGGTTAAAACGTCTTCCTTGGATTTATCTGGAAAACGGTGTTTCTTTTCTAATATGCCGAGTACCGCGGAAATACGCGACCTCTAGACGAAGGTAGCTATAAACCGTCTGGTTGTTTGCGGTATTATAACACGCTGTTGACCGGTCACGAACGTACTCGTATTTTTATGCGCAAACTTGTTCACCGGGCCCCGAGTGTGCTCGTATTTGCATACATGCGCTATATCTCGCGCGATTGTTAATACCACTGTTGCGTATTTATTCGCCACGCATGGTTGAACTTCCCGAAACATCAGATCCCGAATTACTCGAGTAAATAAATTTTCCACCAACGAGATGTGCACGCACGGAATTCGCCGAGATCGGCAAATCGACCGATAACGCGTTATTAATAACGCGGAGAATTATCGCGCGACACAAGCTTGTTACCCCATTTTTGTATTCCTAAAAGCGCAAAAAGAAAGTATTAGATAGAGAGAATCGGATATTTTATTATTACATTACAACCCTCGTCCCTATCGACGCTGACAAATAGACAGCTGCATAAAAATCTTATCCGCGAGCAAAAACACGGTAAATAAGATAACGGTCGTAAATCACGTGCCATTGGTTATCTATTAATTCGAAAGTGACTCACCGCGAACCCAATTCCGATTTTAGAAAGCGAGACCTTAACAGATAAGCAGAATCGCGATATTATCGACGATACTTCGCGCATTCGTACGCGTGATACAAATATTTCGCTTACCTACGTAATACGAGGATACATCGAGTAAGAAATTTCCATGGATCATACGAAATGAGGGACGAACGGAACACTGGCGACGTCTGGAGTCCAAACAGAAATGTCGGAGTCACGTGACCACGCAGCGCGATGGACGAACGAGTCCCGCGACCGAGACTTTCCTCCGACCTCCGATGAAAACACCGGATACTTTCGCTTCTATTCGTCCCGGCGATTGTCTCCGTTTACAACGCCATCTCTCTCCCGCTTCCATCCGTCGGCCTGTCTCCCGAATACCCGCCGTGTCCCGAGATCGATTCGTAAGAATATTCCAGTACCACGTGACACGTCGATAGCTAACCTCTATCGAGGGAAGCGTACCGCTACACCCAATCGATTCGTAGGCGAGTAATCGACGCACAGCGGCGTTTCCGCGAAAGTAGCGAGCCCTGTATCGATTCCGCGAAACAATGGTACATAAAGGAGCATCGGCATTGGCCGTCGTGGTCGCAAGGCGATTCGAAAAAGGCGAACGGAGCCGTGTGGCCCGGTTCGCCCGCAGTCCCGACGGTATAACCGAAACCATCGATCGCGTCGTTTTGCATGGTCGATTTCGCGGAGGGATAGCAGAAAAGAGAAGCGTGTGGTCGTCCGCGGGAAAAGAGCGGAGGACAGAGAGAAAGAGCGAGAGAGAGAGAGAGATTCGGGTAGGCATCGGTGAAATAGAAGGGGAATTGGAAGCAAGGTCTGTGTCGTTCGGCATTCAGAATGCAGAAAGGAGCGAGGAAAGAGGAGCGTAGGGTGGCTCGGCAGTTTGCGTGCATGTGTTTCTCGTTCGTCCCTATGCACGAGGAGAAGAAGAGTCCGGAGAGCGCGAGCCGACCGAGAGGAAAAGGAAGAGGAGTAAAGGAGAGAGAGAGAGACGGAAGCGAGAGGCCGCAAAATATATGCTGCATGCTCGTGGATGCTCGTTTGCAGCGTACCGTGGTGGGACGGAGATAATCGCGGGTATAGAGACTGCGGATAGAGCGAAACGGAAGAAAAGGAGAACGTGAAACGGTTCGCCGAGGAGGCTGGTCAATGGTAGGCCGGCTATCGGAACACCCTTCTCGAAAACAAAGCCGGATCTCACCTTGATTTATCGCTGAGTGCTGCTGCCGCGGTGCTGTGTGCTCTGCTCCGGACTACAGCCGCCGGGGTGAACTCCCCGGCGAAAATTAATCCATTATCAGGCCAACGAAAACGGAATAGCTGCGACCACGGAGCCAGAAACACCGCTCTCTCTCCCCCTCTGTCTTCCTCTACGCGAGACCTCGACGCTTCTTCCGGACTCTCGTGTCCGTGCGTTTTTTCTCCCGGCTGCTGCCCGCCACCAAACGGCCAACCTCGGTCCGTTCGAGTCGTGTGTACACACTATACACAGGCCGGTGCCCGCCACTAAATCAGCTCCGTAAACGTATGCACACGGGTAACGAGTGTCACGGCTAGCAGTCGAATGCTTGCACACGGCAGCGGATCACACAACGCGCGCTCCTTCCCCACGTCCGCGTTCTCGTCCGCGTTCCCGTCCACGACGCACAAAGACACCGGGGACACACGTTTCTCCAAATATTTTCCTTCGCGCGCACGCTCCCGCTAGCTCGGAGATACGCAGCACGTCCGACGGACACGACGATCACGACGACGACGACGCACACGGTCGAGAACGCGACGCGGTATAGGCGATACACGTGCGAGTGGTCGTACCGGGACACGAACCACCCCTAACATCGGCCGAGAACGCACTGACGTGAATGCAACCGAGGAAACGCGAAAGCGAAGCTCCGACCGAGTCGCCGCCGCGTGGTGGGGGAAGTCTTTCGGTCGACTTCGGAACGCTTCGGCGCGCCGACCCCTCTCCCCGTTCACCCCACCCTCTGGATACTTTACACAAGCGTAGGATTCTCCCGTTCTCCGTCTACACGTTGGCGAGAGTCAGTTCCGACGCGTATTCGGACTCTGGCTCTTCGCTCCTTCTCCTTCCAACTTCCCTCTACCCTCTCCCTCGCCCTTTCACCCTATCCCTCCGCTACCCCCACCACAACCGCGCGGTCCGCTCGCGCTGGTTACATGCACACCTGTTTACCCGCGCGTGTGTGCACGCGACGCGTACACCACCTTATACCCTCTCGCGGCAGTCTCCACACGCGCGATGACGTCACGCTGGGCGCCGTGGCGTGGATAACGAGATGGCCCGAGTCTTCCTCGGGACCCTCGATCGCTAATTATCGTCCTAGAGGTTTCGCCTCGTTCCGCGACCGGTTTGCTCCTTTTTCTCCCGGCCTGCTGCTGGCAGACGGAGAAATCGTGCGGCCCAGGAGGAGAAGGCACCCGGCAGTCACCCTTCCCGGCCACGGCCGACGATTTTCGTTTCGCCGCTCGTTCCCCGGTGGCATTAATGATGTCTCGTGTAGGTACAGTCACGACCGGTTCCTCGGGACCTACCTCCTATCAAGATCGAGTATCTTCGACTAGCGAGTCGGAGGACACGCCGGGGCCAGCCGAACAATTCCCATCTAGGGTTTCACGCGGTGTGTAAGACACGTCGTCCTGGTCCACACGCGATCCCTCGAGCTCTGCTGGAATCGGCTCCGGACGTTGTTCCGTACCACGGGAGAAAAAGAGAGAGAGCGTGAGCGGTCGGGGACGAAATTCCGTGAGCGTGGACCGTGAGTGCAAAAATGAGCATCGCGGCCGACGTATAAATAACGAAACAGCCCTGTTGTAGGAGGTTGCGAGGGCTCGTGCAATAAATAACGACCTAGCGGAGCACACCTGCAGCGACAAGGCGTGTCCGATGGACGATGAAGTTTAACGTTCCTCCCTCGTTTATTTCTCTGCCCAAAGCTATTGCAAGACGCGACACCAATAAAATGCTAATCGCCCTTCCTCGTTACGTCGCGCCCTCCACTTTGCTTTTTAGCGCGGCCAGAAGTGCCCACACGCTGCTCTCCCTTATCAATCGCGTCGTATATTATCGCCTATTATCGTACGCCAAGTTTACCCATTTCCACTACAATATCGCAGCTCGATGATAATATTATGTAGCATAATCTCACCTAACGACCGGTAGTTTAGTCTGGACTAACGCTTTCGTAATCCTCGTACCGAGTTTTATTACTTTTCGATTATTATCCCCCTGCCGGTTCTATATCACCATATCATGGATTTACAATAACCATTTGCTTATGTACCATTGTAGTCTGTTACACGTTTGCCATTATTTTCCGTCGAAATCGTTATTCGCTTTCTTGACAGTCACGCAGTTGTTTAGCAGACACCCGGTAGAGCTAACACAGCGATTCGTTTGTTCGCCAACAATGAGTTCTTTGAATTGCAGAACGTCCAAGGTAATTGGACGTATCTGTCACGATGACTTATTTTCCACTGGATGCGATACATTCTCCGAACTTCATTTGAATATTTAAATACTCGACTACCTACGTTCACGCCGTCCGTTGCCAACGTAACTAATCCCTCGACCCACCCGAAACCTACGTGTCCGATGTAACATCGGCGACCGATGTTGCACCGTATCGATTATCATTGTTAATTACGAAAATGAGATGTCCGCGAATCGATTACGTTCCAGACGAGATCCGTTCGTCTCGGCGAATAACGGCTGTCCCCTCTTGTAAACGCGCCATGTCCTCGGCGTCTCCGCGGCACGAAAGGGAAGCTGCAGCCCTCGGGCCACGGACACTTTCCCTCGGCGCTGTCGGAATAGCCGGGAAAAGCCGAGGGTAGCTTCTTTCTTCCAACGAGGCAGCCAGCCACCGGGTGCATAGGAACGAACGACGGAGGATTGGTTCCGATTACGATCTCGCGTCACCCTAACGTAAGGAGCGCGACAATGACGATGACTGCGATTCCGCGTACGCGCAAGGTGGTCCATTATGATTTTCCGGCTGGATACGCGGCGAAATAGCGGAGCTTCTGGTCCAAGACTTCGGATGGCTTTCGAATCGATCGTGTATTCAGGGCCACGTGGCTTTGTCGTCTTTCAGTCGCGACCTTGTATATAATCCTATTTTTCGAGACACGATTCTCGTATCAAGTCTATCTATCGGTGATTTTAACCCTTTCACTCCTGCAGACGTTGTATGACGTCAGGCTACAACATGACTGCAGACGTGATACAACGTGCATGGATTTCAAAGCTGTTAGAGCTGAGAAAATTCTTTCTGAACGCAATCCAACTGTTCTGACGTGTCCTGTCATCTCTTAGGATAAGAGAGAAATTTTGTTCAATACAATCCCTGCATTATTTTGCCTCCTGTCAAAAACATTGCGAGACTATGTATTTCACGACTGCGTGCACGTGGCGCGCGCCCCCTTGGCCCGAGATTTTTCGTCTGCTGCCAGGGTTTGCAAAAATGGCGCTCAGTGACAAATATTTGCTGCCTAGTACAGTACGTAAAATATTAAATTTATAATATATAACAATAAACAAAGAAATTTGCATAATGCTGCAGATGGTCTGTATGCGCAGCCCTGAAAATCGTGTGTCGTGGGTGGTATTTTCTTAGCGTAAACAAATAAAATATTCAGCGACTTCTGAACTTCTGTATTCACCTTTATCACCTCGGGTAAGCTTATAACGCGCGATATTGTATTTCGATTAAGTTTTTATTGGATTTAAACAAAAATAAACTTGGGCAAATTAATTCAGAACTGGACGTTTGCTACTCTTTTCGTAAGTCAAGAGTGAAAAGGTTAAATTAAAGATACACGACTTTTATTCCAAACTTCAAAGTTAATTCAAACGCGAGAGGATGAAAACTCGTGAACGCGGGATAAGCATGGATAAAATGGCGACCGTGTTAACACGGACGCGATGGTTTAAAGGTTAAATGGCGAGCCGACTAGCAAAACGGTCGTGTAACACGCGATCGGATAGAGCGGATTAACATTCGGACATTTGTCATCCGTCTGTCGCATCTCGGCCAGGTCGCGCGATCACGCAGAGGTATCTCTGCCGAGACTATCCGGGTACTTTCACAGTCAGTAATACAGTAATTGTGCGAGTCTGCCGGCGTGTCGATTATGGTTCCCTGCCAAGGACTCGAGCGGGAAAGAAAACTGGTAACGGTTCCCCGTGCTCCTTATTAAATCCATCAGCTTGAGCAGTTCGAGCGGAGTCACTCGACCCGCGGAGGCTTTCGAGAACCCGGCGCGATTCGTTCGCTCTCGTCTCACCGATACGATTTATCGAGAAAGAAGGATATTAATTAACGAACCGACGCGGGAAAGATTCCACGGACAATGGGCGCAAGTTTTCCAGCGTCTAGCTGAAAGTCGACGTCGGCCAGGGAGAAACGAAGAATTGTTCCGGCCGACAACAATGCCCACGGCTGGAATTCGCCGTCGAACTTAAATTTTAAGAGTCACTGGCACGAATAGACTTGCCGACCTCCGGTAAAAAGCGTTTTTTCCGCCGGTCGAATGGACGCGGACGGCCGCTGAAACCCTTACCTTCCGCGCGACGAATAATTCAAGAGAGAAAGAGCGCGCGACTGGGATGGAAGGAAACGAAGAGAGAGCGAAAGAGAGGCGGTGGAAAAGTTTTCGCCCAACTTTTTCACCCGCCGCGTTCGTTTTATCCATCGATTTCCCGACCGGCGATCGACGTCTACGGATTTTCCACGGCGAGTTTATTGTGTCCGCCGCGCTCCTACCCGAGGATTCAATTTCATTCTTTCTCGTCGTCGAAACCGGGGGAAACCGGACCGAGGGTGGGCGTCAAAGCGAAAGTTTCCATAATAACGCCTTTACCGCCGATACTTCTGCGTCCTCGTCGCCCGACGACAGAAACCCAAGAACTTGGCGAACGAACGATTTTCGCGGGTCACAGAGGGAAGTCACGACGAGACAAAAGAGTTCCGGACGCCACTCTGCCATGGGATCGCGGTCGTTTTTCAATTCGACGTATAGGTTACTCGAGTTTCCCGTAATTCTCTGACTGTTTACGCTGAAATCACATGTTTTGCTCAGGACGCCATGGAAGTTTTTTATTATTCGAAGCATATAATGGCAAAATAGTTAATAAATTGATGATATAAGACAACATTCTTATTCATTAAAGCGTTTACCTTATTGACAGTCAAGGGTGACTACTGGTGGAGCCTTGGTAACGGTTGACAGTCAACTAACTGTCAATTTTCATTCAATTTTTGTGTATTTGTAAGTAGCTCAAGCGCTCC